AAAAAAATCATGGGGGCTGGAGAGATGGCACAGCAGTTAAGAACACTGACTATTCTTGCAGAAGATCCAGGTTCAAATCCCAGCACCCACATAGCAGCTAACAACTGTCCATAACTCAGTTCCAAGGGTTCTGAGAGCCTCGTCTATCCTCTGCGGGCATCACACGACTCAGGTGCACTTGCCTACATGCAGGCAATACACACATATACATAAAATAAAAATAATAAAATATTTTTAAAAAATCATGGGAGAAATAACACATTTTAAAATTATTTCAGAGAATTCTCAGACTTTGATAGACTTTCATCAGCAGAATGAACTCTAAGAACATTATTAACACACAGTTAGAAACTCTAACACTAATGTTATTTAATTTTCTAACTTCAGTAGTAGCTGGGAATAGAATTAAGCTAATTCTCATAGAAGTTGACTGAATGTCCTTGGTTGAAATAGCAAGATGATAAACATTAATTATAAAGACTAAGCAAATGGTACTAAGAAATTTACAAAGGGAAACCTGGAAGATAGGGTGGGGAAGCACTAAAAATGTAAAAGAGTGTTACCTTTAGCATTATGTAAACATAAACAAAACATACAGTTTGTCCATATAGGCTAAAGTTCTTCTCCTTTCTCCTTCCCCTCCCCCTCCCCCTCTCCTTCCGGCTCCTTTTTCCCCACCACCTCCCCTCTCCTGTTCTCTACCCACACTTTTTGTTTTTATTTTTCACAACAGGGTCTCCCTGTAGCCCCAGCTGGCCTCACAGAGATCTCACAGAGATCTACCTGCCTCTGCCTCTGGAGTGTTGGGATTAAAGATGGGTACCACCATGCCCAGCTTCCCACCCTCTTTTGAGACTGGGCCTCATTTTGGCTCAGCTTGACCTCAAACTCAGTAAGTGACTGAGGTTAGCCTTAAACTCTTGCTCCTCCTGCCACTACCTCCCAAGCGCCAAGATTATAGGTATGCAGCACCACATCTGGTGTAAGACAAAAAAATTTTAAAACAGCAACTTATCGTTCAATTAATATTTTTAAAAAACTATTTTATTTTTTAATTTTATGTGTATGAGTGTATTGCCTGTGTGTATGTAAGTGTACTCTTGTCATGCAATGCCCATGGCGGTCAGAAGAGGGCGTCGGATTCCCCTGGACCTGGAGTTATGGATGGTTGTTAGCTACCAGGTAGGTGCTGGGAATTGAATCCAGATACTCTGCAAGAGCAGCCAGTGCTCTTAATCACTGAGCCATCTCTCCAGCCCCTCAATTAATATTTATTGATCAACTTTTTTATTGATGAAGACATCCAAGATTCAAATCTTGGTTTGTCTTATTCTAAACTCTATAATTTTCCACTTTAAATCTAAAGAAGTTAAAGTTTCAACCTAGATAAATTATATTGCAGAGAAAAAAGTAAGTTTGGGTGAGATTAGCTTAAAGAAACCAAGAGCAGCAATTAGTTAATTCATCTGTTTCATTCTAATACACATCAAAGGACCTAACTGAAGATAAACTATACTTATTTAGAACTAAGACAGTAATCTCTAAATCTTTTTTAAAAACCATTTAAGTAGAATTTGATGGATTCTAAAGGACAAATATAAGGGCCAGGTGTGGCTGTGCACCCCTTTAATCCCAGCACTTGGGAGGCCAGGGCAAGCAGATCTCTGTGCATTCAAGATCTGTCTGATCCACAAAGGAAGTTCAGGCCAACCAGGGCTACATAACGAGATCCTGTCTCAAAAAAGAGAAGAAATGCAAGATGTGCAAATTATGAAAATAAGCACCTCAAACACAAAATTTAAGAAATATGGTTGGATATTTCTGTGTGCTGCCTCCAGCCCACTGCTTCTGCCAAGACGCAAACACTAGAATGAATTTTGTATTTGTTATTTCCTTGCTTTTTCTCTATTATAATCTTAGCATATACATACATAAACCCAAATAATTATTTTTGTTTGCAATTTAAGCTTTAAATAAAAACAATAACCCGTATATAATTGCCTACAAATTGGTTCTTTCATTCGTGATAGTCATTAAGACCCTATCCACGCTATTGTCGATGAACATTTGTTCTTTCCTGTTTAGATTCATTTAGGCCACGTATATTTCCCCAATTCCTCTCTTAAGTAAGAAAAATGTATAAACGAATCTAAGTAGGAAAGAACAAGTGTTCAACGACAATAGAGTGTTCAAGAAAATTATAAAGATATACATCACTTCTTTCCATAAATTAGATTATGCTTTTAGCCTTGCAAATTCACACCAAAAAGTCATCATCTCACCATCACTAAAACAATTCTTCTTTCATATGCAACCTCCCAAGATGACAATTATACTACCCCTATTTTTGATTTCATAGTTTACCATAGTTAAAAACAAAAGTTTAGCAACAATGATTTCCTACTAAGGTGCTACTATCTTTCATATATTGTTAAACTGTTAATATGTTCTTGAATCAGTTTGCTAAAACATTAACAGCAAATTGAGCTGAGGATTTAGTTCAGCTGGTAAAGTGCTTGCCTAGTATGCCAAAGCCTCAAGTTGGATGCCCAGCATTGCACAGTCAGGATTTGGTGGCACATGGTATGATCTCAGCACTGGGGAGGTCAACAGGAGAATCAGAAGTTCAAGGTTATCCTTAGCTACATGAGCCTCTCTTTTGAAAGAAAAAGTGTGGGAATGCCTTTTCTTGGACCATGTTAATCACACATGCTTTGATATCATTTAGAACTATATATTCAAAGTCTGGTGTGGTGATATACACCTTTAATTCCAGCAAATTGGGAGGTGGAGGGGGGGGGAGATGGATCTTTGTGAGACTTAGACTGGTCTACACAGCAAGTTTCAGGGTAGCTGGAGCTACAGGGAGACTGTCTCAAAAAAAAAAAGACAAAACAAGCAAACAAACAAACAAAAAACCCAACATCCACAAAAAAAACAAACCCAAAACAGACCTATGTATTCTGTTTTCTACTGTACACTCAGTGAGCTTGCTTAAACAATGTCCTATGTGATTAACTCTTATAAGTGAACCTGAATGCATAGCTTCAATCTTATATCATGTTCCCTATTGTGACTGTTACGACCATGACTCAGAAAAATGTGATGTTTGAATGAGATGTGGTAATTAGACCTAAGACCAGTGATAATATTGAAAACACCTACCCTGATTAGTGTTGGAAACAACACGTGGGCATATGTTGATGTCTGTGGTTTTATATGCTGTTCTGGGTCAGTAGGGTCAAAAAACAACTTCTTCCCTTATAAACTCTAAAGATTCTTGGAGACAAATTTTCTCTACCCTGAATGATGTGCTGTTCAATAAATATAAGTGGCCCTATGTTCAGGATAGGACAATTCTGAGAGAAATCAGCTCTCCTTAGAACAGATCTTGCTCCCTCTTGGCTAACCAACTCCAAGACTTAATGCAGCAATGCCACAAGAAAGAGAGAAGGGGGATGGAGGGAAGGAGAGGAACAGGAAAGAGGGGGGAAAAAAAGAAACGAAATCAGCAAAACTACTATGTATCCGAGATGACAATCTTTATGTATTTGTCACACTATATCTGCTTCAAACTCTTCTAATATAACACACATCTATAGCGATATATTAAGCTGTCACTTGTCCAAAAGTTCCACTTTTA